ATCGACTACCTACCCATACAGTGCAACACGCAGTCGGAGAGGCATGAAAGTGGCATATATGTAGCGGGTATATATTATATTGACCAATAGTAATATAATAATGACAGCTTCAAACTAGATCGTGTAGGCCGAGCTCGCAAATGTCGAGTGTTATATAGTTTGTACCTTGGGTAGTCAGTCTCGGTGCTCGGAGACAAAAAATTAGTCCCACCTTGAACAACTGATGTATCCGTACGATAACGCACTATGTTTTTTTTCTCGCGCGTTTACGTGTATTTCCTTTTATCGGTCTAATAATATCATGTAAATGGAAAGGAATAATGTTCTAACAAGAATACACAACGAATGTGTTTAAGTATATATAGTACATTTATTAAAAAAAAATTATATCTAGTTGAGAACGATCAATTATTATTCTTTTAAATGGATTAATGTAACAGGTCTCACCCCACGGACCAGTTACACGAAGAGGTAAATGCATTGTGATTTCTTCAACGTATAGGTTAATTTAATTTGAATTATATAAAAAAAATGTTTTATATATAATAGGCTTGAATATATCGTGTAAAAAAAACGTTTCGTGCATTCATATTTTTTAAATATCTGGATGTATACATATTTTATATTTCAATGAAACCGGTTGAAAAATCATGTATTTTAAACAGCGGGGTGAGAAAAGGTTGGAATAATAATATATCATAATTCATAGGTATTAAACAATGTTTGATGTTCAACAGAAAACTGGAAAAATGAGTTTTTATACTAAGTATAATATTATAAGAAAAAAACATATTATGTTTATTAAATGAAGTTACGTCATACATCAAACAAAAACAATTATGGCCTAAGGGATATAATTTTATACATTTTTAGTAAACTCTAATGCACTTATAAATTACATCCTAAATTTTAAGTAACATTGAACAGTTATTGTTGAACGATATTTAACCCTTAAAAAATATATAAAACTATTCATTTATTTATTTTGTATGTTCAAATGCTTTACTTTTAATACTTCACTCAAAAAAAAAAAAATTTTAATTTAAAAATTTTTAGGTTTTGAAACTTTTACGTAAATTATTTTATTTTAAATAGACAATAATATTATACAAATATTTAGAATCAATTTTAGTTATTACCTACTTATACGACAAACATATTATTGGTATTAATAATATAATATACTGTTTTAATAATTAAAAATTAAATGCAATGTTTTAAACAAAAATTAAATTATTTTGTGCATATATAGTACACAAAATCACAAAAAATATTTAAAAAATATAAAAATGTTCTTATTCTATTGTGTGGCAAATGGTAAATATAGGGGACACTTAATACACCCACACCCATACATGCACACACACCAGATTATTTTCAATATTATCTTATTGATTGTTTCATTGTTACCATATTATAATATACATAAGTATATTTTACGTGCTATCTATTTTTCGAATCCCATAACATAATTGGTGGAGTTTTCTGACTACCTGCTTTTTATTATCAATTACACCTGTGTAAAGTTTACACAGTTATATCACAATGATCATAAATTATCGAAATTTAATGTGTTCCTCGATAATACAAGATGCTATTAATGTGACATAAACAGGAATTATTTTCTCACCCAGGCACTGATAACGAAGACGGTAAAAAAGATTTAACTATTTTAATCAAAAGACATTTACAACGTTTGTACGGATTCGGTCGAAAGAACATCCGGTTAATTCTCCGGATTGACCGATAAACACTCTGCTATAATGCAAACACACGTCGTGTATTTTTAAATAAATTCTTTTATTATGGGTAATTTTGTTTGATTTGATCGTAAATCGGAATACAAAAAAGTTACCGAATGAGCTCCACTGTATAATACGCCAATACACGATTAACGTTGTGGAACATTTTTAATTACGATTAATTGTTGTGGGAAAAAAGCGTCCGATGATAAAAATTAATCAGATTCGACGACCGTTTTTTGTACTTTACACGCGTACACTTCTTAATAAGCCTTCACAAACTCGTTTTTAACATCTCGGACGGCTTAATGATAGACTGCAATAGTAAATAAATGCGGCACCGATCGGCAGTGTATAATAATAATATTGTATGTGTTTTGTATGATAATATTGTTTTAAAAATTTTATGGATGTTGACCTCCTCTTATAGGTACAATAATTGCGTTGTACAATAATAATTACCGTCGCAGTGCGTCTTGAGTTGGAGTGTTTTGTGTATTCGAGCAAAAATACTAAATAAATCTCGCCCATAGGTCATATTATGGCCACATGGTATTATGATAAAAAAAACGAACGAACGAACAAACGAAACGTTCCCGTTGTATCAATATCGTCGATCATTCGACAGAAACAATCGATGACGAACATTGTTTTACACAACACGTTCTCGTTTATATTATTATAGAGGTACACGCGCACAATAATAATAATAATAATAATAATACAAATTTAGCGTTTAGCCGTTTACAGCAGCAGCAGCAGCAGCAGTAGCGAATCGACGCGCGTAATCTCGTGCGCCTCGTTTGTTTAAACGACAAATAATATTATATTATTATGCTTCCTTTGTTTCTTGCGCTTCGGTGACTTGGCGGTTTTTATTTTTTATTTTTTATTTTTTTTTTGGTCATAATTTTCCAAACGCGATCTCTCCTCTCGGACGGACGTTATTGCTTGCGTACGTGCTCGACGTTAGAACAAACATGCTGCGCCGCTCGCAAATACGATATTTTAACATTGCTAATGACTAATGAGTATGTATAATATAATACATAATACTGTTATCGCTTTATTATTATATTGATATGATCACGGGCGAGATTTCAGAGGGGCGGGGATACGAGTTCATAACTGTTTCAACTAACATAATATAATATTTTATGATTTATTGTACCTATAGTTATTATTATTATGAAATATGATTTTTAAATTACCTAGTAATTAGATTTAGTCTTTTTTTTTTTTGGACAAAAATTTTTAGCCGGTCACGGATTTGGCATGGTTGATTTACAACTTTAAGTACCGCCAGACTTATATTGAAACCAATGTTCTAATAAAAATACCATAAAATATCGGTACTTATATCTCTTCCAAGTGTAAAAAAATATTATTGTCTCCTGTAGTTGTTAAAACGATAATATGTATTAATGCCTATAATTATATGCTGCAGCCTGCAGGCTTTTGTTTTACAACCATGCGTTTTGTGTTTTTCTAAAAAAATAAAGACTATACCGATATGTTTTGATAAAAGTTTTTCAAAGTACGATCGACTAACTCAATTGACTGAATCTCAGTCAAAATTTATTTAAACACTTTAGTAAATAAAATTGTATGTACTTGTTTTTGTCCTAAACTATTGTTTATATATGTTACGTACCTTACTTAATATTATATACGAATTTATATTATGTTGCATACAAAGTTCGAAATTGTCCACTTTAGGGCGTGTAAAAAAAATGTCGAAGAAAGACAAAGTATTTAATTTTTATAAATGAAAAAAAAAAATTATAAATCATTTTAATCATCATAAAGTTCACAGTACGGACTTTGTACGGAGGTAGAAACACATTTTATATAATATATATATATATATATTTCGTTAGTGAAGTTATAATGGTAACCAAAACACAATTGCTGATTACATGTTTATAATTTTTTTAATTTTTACCGAATTGATTTTAATCGTGGTACCTACTCGTATATTAAATATTAATAACACGATATGGATACGATTCGTTGAGACGAATACAAAATAATTTCAAAACTAATCAAATTTGAATACTTAGATATGTTAGTTTATATTTTATAATGCTGACGTTACGCAGGTATAGGCAGTTAAATTGAATATATAATATATATGCACACAATATTATTGGACTATAATTTATAATATACAATATTATATATATACGGAACGTGGTTATATTTAAATGTTTTTGTCCGTCGTTAAGCGTTTCTATAATTACAACTTAATTGCATTATATACTACAGCGGGATTAATGATTTTCAGGTAAATATCTCCACCTGCAGATATAGTTGTTGTACAATAATAAATAATTATACATAAGAAATTGTGAAATCGCGTGTATACTAAAACAATGTTACTCGCTCTGGTAAAATAAAATTCGTATAACACCATCATCGTCGTCAAACACCACCTACGACGGTAACAGTGGTGCACAAATCCTCAGAAGCGGGGAAGGCGCTTTCCCCGCAAAATAATTTGGTGGTATGTGTGCGCACGGTGGATCCTTGAGTTGGCGGGTGCTGTGGCCGGTAAATTTTCAAGTAAACCACCGCCGCGGACCGCCCTGTCCACAAGCCGAGTGAAATAATAATAATGTATAGTTACAGTGCAATTTTCGTCGTCGGCTGCGAAAATCGGTTGGCACGGACCCTCTGACGAATTATTGGCGTTTAAATCTCGTCCGGCAAAGTATAATATACTAATAAAGTCAGGTACCAAACGTCGCGACAAAGCCCTCGTCGGTCGGTCACCGCAGTCGTAGTAGGTATATACTATTAATAATAGTCTATTATTTTATAGAAGTAGTAGTAGTAGTAGTAGTAGTAGTAGTAATAGTAGTAGTAATAGTAGTAGTAGTAATAGTAGTAGTAGTAGTAGTAGTAGTAGTAGTAATAGTAATAGTAGTCGTCGTCGTCGTGGTCGTTGTGGTCGTATTGTTGTAGTCGTTGGTAGTATTATCGTGGTCCCGACACGCGCGATTTTAATCGTATATACGGATCGCGTTCGGGCGGCGCGTCCCCTAGACCGGTTTTCAGAGATTTCGACGGCCGGGTGTTGTACGCGCGCGGTCGTACAACCACGGCGCGGGGATATCGCCGCCGCTTTGTCGTTGGGGAGTGGTCGCAGGTGTTTTACCCATTGTACGCGGTGGCCGTACGCATCGTGCGTGCGTGCTGCGCGTGCGTACCGCGGTACGCGGGCGACGGCGGCGGCGGAGGCTACGACCATAATAGCGTGGCCTCAGTCTCGTACCGACGTCCGCGCCGATCACTCGTCCTCTGCGTCGCGTGAAACAGTCTTTATTTTACTGCCGCAGATTCTGGTGCGCGCGTCGTCGCCGCGAGTGCATTTTGGTTTTGCCGTCGTGCGTATTCCTCAGTGCATGTACATTTACACACGTTTAGATTTCTGGATTACTGTATGATGTCCGCAAGCCGATAACGCAGGTGAGTCGGGTCAAATAATTAGATTTGCGACAATTATTACGGCCGATAGTCGTCGCGATTGCGACGATAGTGTACGGCAGGCGCGTAAGCGAGACTCGCGGTCGACGTCTGCTCGGCCGGGGGAAAACATTTGAGGGGGTTCAGGGTTCTAATGACCGCATGCACTGCACAACTAGCGGCTTTGCCTCCTCCGCCAACGTTCGACGGTCGCATAATATATTTTTATAAAGGCCGTGTAAAATACGTGCGTGGTACCTACGCATTTTTTAACGTGACAATATTATAAGCACTATCGCGAGTACGTTTATTTCAAAACTGCGTGACGATGTATCTAAGTATCCTAATACTTTTCTCTACTCCCCTCCCCCAATGGCGCCTTTGGATCTGGACACTAGACTCCGGCTTACGCTGCTGTGAAGAGGTTCAGTTGGACATGACAATAAACTTTTGCGTCGCTCCAGAACCACGTCGTAACATGATTCGTAGTAGACCGTGCCGGGTTTTATTTCGCGCGTAATCAATACGTCTATTATCACAGCGTTTTGGTCTTCGCGGTCGTAGGTCTTCAGCGAGAGTGTTCGAAGATGGCTTACTAAGTGGTCGGATAAGTCACCTACTCCCATATACGATAATATCTCACGAAGCGTCTACTATTAATTGTCCATTCTGTCACGGATTGTTTCCGGTTGACGGGCTCGGCGGGACACGGGTGACAGTGGTTACGACGATTGTCGTCTTGGTCGTATAAATTATTATTATTATTATTATATTACAGGGGTTGTTTTTTTGTGCGTGTAATCGAGGGCGTGAGGGTCGTTACACACGAAAACGGCCACTGTTTATATATCATACTTATAAAGATACCACCTACCTACGTAATCTGTATTATGTGCATATACCTATAGAGATCTTTTGGTAAACAAAAAAAAAAGGGAAAAATCATCTTAATAGGTTTTACGGCACGTTTGGCTCGAACACTCCATTATATATTGTGTCTTTCCGTCGTCTTCGAGTCCGTCGTCACCGGGTGGCACCACCATGGGGACATGCGATATAATGCACTTTGTGGCTGTCCGGCGCCTGTACGGACGCGACGGGCCGCAAACGTCCGACGGTGACCGTTTACCTGGTTCATGGCGCCATACGGGTCACGACAATCACGACGAGTTGCGGCGGTAAGAAGGGGGTAGGATGTAGGTGGTAGTAGACCCGACAGATATAGTTTTTATAGCATATATAATATATATTTAATAATGTCGTAGGTATATATTATAATGTTATCACTTGTATATTATTGTGTATTGTACCTGCAGTCGTGTGCGGTTGTCGTGCGCGATATTTGCATTTGCACCTACCCGCGCGTACACAAGTCATTTCCCCCCGTTCTTTCAAAGAGTTCAAGAGTAATATATCGTGGTAAGATCGTGTAGACGGTGTGATTTTAACCTAGGAATCGCCGGCCGCGGAGTGCTCGAGCGCGCGGGTGTGGATTCATGAAACACGTTGAACAGTTCATATAGGTACCGCCTAAATCTACTCACAGGTATATAACTATATTGTTATTAAATTTGTAAGCTGGCTTATTTTATTTTTATACAAAAAGAAATAATATTGTTCTAAAAGAAAAAAAAATAAATAAACCATATAAACCGGTTGCACCCTGCGACATCCAAGAACAATAACCCACTCGCTTATAGGTGTATATATATATATATGTATACATACTCATGACAATAATAATAATATGTATTTTATAATAGTGGTGTACCTATAATAGTATAATGCGTGCGCACGGTTGATTGTTCTGCTGACCTTGATTGACCCTAGGACTGGTGCAGTGTCTCTGTACATTTTTTTTTCTCCGAGAAAACTCTTAGAATTAAGGCACCCCAAACACGTTGGTGTGTATATATGAGTATACATAGATATAATGTTGGTGCATCTTTCAGCTCCCGAGTTCGATAGGGTGTGCGCAGCCAGTATAGTAACAAGTAACAATACTAGTATACAGCAGTGATTTACCGCTCGTACGTTGTATTATTATATTTTATTATAATAGGTACAACAACGGTCAGTGAGTGCGACAAACGTAAAATAAATCTTACTACCGATGTCAAACTAAATATAAAGGTAGTCCACTTTGGATGTTATGAATTCGAAAGAAAGAGTTCGGAGACTTTATCGTTTTATGACGTATTTTATCATGTAGTGCATTCGTGTACGGATAGAGGATGTTCTTTTATGCACTTTACATATTAATAGTCTGTTTTTTCATTTTTAATTGTTTATGATCTCCTGGAATTGCAGTATAAAAATATACGCTTAATATTATTATTTTACTATTTTTTTGAGATTATACACGATCTTCTTCCACCTTTCGATTGACTAGGTTTAGCAATGTTCGTAAATATATGGGTCGTTTTTATATAATATTAAAATATATTATATTATTTTTTTTATAAACTAATCGACTGATAATTTACGTCAATAATTTTTGACAAAACTCATTTGGAATAATAATTATAGAAAAAAAAATACGAGCTATTTGAATTTATTTTATTTACTCGTTTTAACCAAATACTTCGGGATATTCTATTACAATAATCGTAAAATGTTAACTCATTAATTTATATAATCTTTTTTCTTGGTCATAATGTAGATAATATATACTATTTTGAAATTATTAATTGGATATAATAAAATGTGAATTATGATCTTCAATTATATTTTATTATTTTTAGTTTATGATCACCGAACCTAACATATATGTTTAATATCTATACTCTGTAGGTAGCCAGTTGATATGTATAGATATCTAAATATCTACTTATACAGTTTGAATTTTTAAAACCATTACAGAATATTATAATATTTTAACACTTAAAATTAATTCAATAAATTCTTAATACCAATCATGTATAAAAACTTGTGAAACAGTTTATTCTTACGACAAACCTGTGAATGATATAGTGGTGATTTTGTGCATCCTGATTTGACGGGGGCCGATCGGTACGTACGTAATCCTCGGTAAATGGGCAGTACATGTCTTCGAACTGGAGGTGATTAAGACTTGTTTCTTCAAAACACATTATAAGTAATACATATACTTAGTGGATACGTAAATGATGGTTGGTTATAGAAATCGAATTTTGTTTCACTGAACGATGCTTTAATATGTAAATACACACGAACTCACTTACACATAAAAAGCAAAAAAAAAAAAAAAATGACGCGAAAGTGATGAACCGTAAGTGAATCGAACAGTGGAGATGCAGAGAAAATTAGCCAGAATAACCATTTTTTAAGAACTGCAAGGACTAACAGAAAATATCTCTGTTTAGGTTCACCGCGAGTATACTAAAACAGTACCAATAATAGATATGTGGTTATCGGTCTCCTCATCGTGTTTACTGCGATCAGACCACAGATAGTATTATAGAACCTCATCGTATTTCGGCAATAAATTTTCGACTGCGTTTGTTTACAAACTCGAAAAGGGAGTTTTATATTATAAACTCGCAGACAATTAGATTTTACCACAGTAACCACGGTCCAACAACCGATGGTAATATTATTTACGGTATACTCATGGTAAGTCGGTAAGTGGTAACTGTGACATTTTCTGTTGGTCATCATTCTTGCTAACACCGGTTGCTGCCGTTCATATATTTCACATCAGTCTTTTCGTGCCGTTTGTTGATTAGTAATTTTGATCAAATAATTTTCTTGTCTTCGTCCGTGAAATACACAGTGTGCATTGCACTAGAGTATATCTTTAAATTTATAGCCAGTATTTTGAAGTGTGATGACATTTTGGCGAATTAATGAGTTTTCAAAGAGTCTTTGTATTATCTTTTTTTTTCCGTTTAAATCGACAGCAGAGGAGGATCTGATCATCTTTGAATTACATTAAGATGCACGTTTAGTTACATGTAATATTATTCACAGGTTTGTTACAATTACATCAGTAGATTGAATACATCTTTATGAAATTTATTTGAAATCTACTTTACGTATAATTGTATATCAATTTTAGTTTGTAAATTGTCGAAAATCCAAGTAAAATATTTGTAAAACTTTGGTGTGACGTATTTATGAGTTAATTGTACAATATCGTTGCTCTGTATTATCTGTAATATTTAGTCATATGGATTATGTTTACTACTAGATCTGTAGCGTTATTTAATTATTGTTGGCTGTAGCCAACTGCAACGGTATTAATTTGTAGGATGTGAATTTGGCGAGAGACAAAAGACAAGTGTCCCGAATATAGGACGTACTAATTTTTAAATAACGGTGCATCGAGTATATATATATATAAACATATAAATACATCCAATATAATTTACTTTAAAAGTGTAACATCGATCGGGCATAGTTTTTTTATTTTTATTGATTGTGATAAAATATTTTTGACGTTTGTGCTTTACTGCAAGTAAATACTGTATAACAATAGTAATACGCAAATCATAGTAAGATTACTTGAGTTACTTTAACTGAAAATATTACGAAAGATTAGTAAGACTTTGAGTCTTGTGAGTAGAGACGATAAATAACAAAATACATGATAGACAATGTAGCTATAAAATAAAAAAAATTATTTTAAGTTTAAATTTAAACCTAAAATATTAAGAAACAAACAAAAATATACGTTTATACATAATAACAATATATTCTCTAATAAATCTCGTAAAAAAAAAAAAAAAAACGTTCATTGATTACTACGTTATCTTTTTTTGGTTTTTTCATTTCTTTATCATAATCAACTAAATAGTTTTAATGTTTAATATTCATGAGCCTATACTTCGTCAGGGTTTTGTAGTCCATTATAAAGCCGTTTAATATATAATTCAAGTATTAATTAAGGATACCAACACTTGAAAATACCATATGTTAATAGTTACTTCCTTAAATCGTTAAAGATTTGTAGTGGAATGTTTTTAAAACTATTTTTATTATAGTCATTTAAATCGTTAAATAATTATTTTATATCTAAACCT